AGAGAGAGAGAGAGAGAGAGAGAGAGAGAGAGAAAAGTAAGCCTCAGAGCGACGCAGCAGCTCAGCGCTGCTCCGGTTCTGGACGTTAAGAAGGAACCGACTCAGAACCGGACCGGTGGATACTCGCGTCTGAGTCCGGGCTGCGGTGGACCCTTCCCGGCCGCGGTGTGGATGGGATTACTCCGGCGGTTCCGTGCCTCCTGTCGGTGCCGCTGGAGGAAACATGCGGCTGCAGAGTTCCCCGGTCCCGCTGCTGCAGCTGTTGAGGATGATGATGACGGTCGGGTTCTCCAACGGCACAAGTTTGACAAGTAACATCAACATCGGTGAGTTGTGGTTCTGGACCGGTTCCGGGTCAGTTTAATTTCATCAGAACCTCCTCTGCAGGTTTTTAACGTTTGTGTAAAACAGTTTCCGTTTCACTCCATTGAACTTCCACAAGCTTTTATGGGCCAGAATAATCTCGAACAGCTGGAATAAACTAGTGCAAACATCTGTCAGCGACACGCGGAATGGCTCACACGTTAGAAGCAGAAAAGCACCGATCTTCAGATCCCAGGAGTTCAGAGCCGATAACGTGCATGGTCTTGGCTGTGAAACCTTCACTGCCGCGGTGCGTTCATGAACCAGGAAACATGTCAGATATTTGACTTGCTGCTTTCTCATGACCAGTGGCTGATTCTGCCCACCAGCTAATTTATGATTCTTTCCATCAAAGGAAATAATTTATGTGCTTTTATGGGAGAAGAACACAACATCAGCTAAGGTATTTTTTCGGATACTTGAACTCATCATCATCGATCACCAATAAAAACTTTCAGCTTCCTCGGGATTCTTCTGTTCCCTGTAGTCTTTTTCCTGTAGTTTAACTGTAATCAGCCAAACCGGTCAGAGCAGGAATCGGTATCAGCTCTCAGCACCTGAGGGCTTTTAAATTCATCACCAGAGCTGAAAGTCAACACAAAGTTTATTGTTTAGGTCTTCTTTTTTGGCTCAGATGATCTGATTAGCTCATCAAAAGTGGAATAACACAACCAGATAATGTTTTTAGTATTTTCAGCGTCTGCTGAACGCTGAAAAAACCCATTTAGCTTCTTCCATGGACTCGGTCGTGTTCTGCGTTGTGAAGCGTGCAGCTTTGGTCTACAGCCTGTCTCCTAAATAATGTGATTCATCAGGACTCCCGCTGCAGCTTGCTTTCAGGTTTGATGCTGATGAGGCAGCATGTTGAAATAAAATCCCTCCTGCAGCCCGACCCTGTATACCGAACAGACCTGGGCTCAGAGCTTTGGTTTTTCTGAGTCCTGCTGCTGCGGACGAAACACTTCCTGTTTGCCTAAAACAGCTTCTTCTGCTTGAGGGTGGCTAGTTCAGGAGGAAAGAGGTTGGTAGTTCAATCACGGCTTCCCCACTGCCTGTAGCCCACTGGGGAATGTGCCTTGTGTGTGATTGAAGGTTTTATTTGGGGTGAAGGTGCAGGTTCATCCATCCACCCACCCACTTAGGCCCAGGCATCACACCCCCTAGCTCCTAGAGGATCTTCTGGCCATGAAGGAGAACAAACATTTCAGTGTTCTAGGTCCTCCTGGGGTTCTCCTCCTTGTGAGTTCATCCTGGATAACCTCCAGAGGGAGTAACCCGGAGGCATCCCTATCAGATATCCAAGCTATCTTGGCTGACTCTTTTCCACGAGGAGGAGAAGGTCTTCTCCGAGCTTCTTCCAGAGGTCTGAGCTCTTCTCCTTGTCTCTGAGGCTGAGCCTGGCTGCCCTCTGGAGGAAGAGCATGTTGACTGCTTGTTCTTCTCCGGGCTTGGTTCTGTGGGTCATCCACCTCTCATGGCCCCAGGTGAATGCCCTCTTACGGAGCGAAGCCCTCCTCTCTGAGAGCAAAGCCCTGATTGGTCGCTGCATCTGCTGCTCCGTTCTACCATCCCTGAGAGCAAGATACGAAGATACCTGAACTTACGTGATGTTCTGACCCACTAAACAAGTCTAAAGGACAGGAGGCAGAGTCCAGTAATCGGAAAGTTGCAGGTTCGATCCCGGCCGGGCAGCTGTGGCTATCGTAGCTCGTCCCCACCAGCGGGTGACTGTGTCGTGAAGCGCCTTGGGGGGTTGTGGAAGGCGCTACACAAATACAGGCCATTTCAGTTCATGAGTAAAAGTGAAACTAACTTAGAGATTTTAGGCATACAACCTTTTCCCTGATTGACCCCGCCTCCTGCTCCTGAAGGAACTGGTGGTTTCCTCTGGTCCAGTAGCGTCGATGCAGTGGTCCAGCCTGGCTCCTGATAGAAACACTACGCCGGACCGATCTGATACCTACTGGTATACATGAATGGGTCTGTTATCATTTCTTCATCTAGACCAGGGGTGTCAAACATGCGGCCCGCGGGCCGGATCCGGCCCGCAAGCAGGTTAAATCCGGCCCGCAAGCGGGTTAAATCCGGCCCGCGAGATGGTTGTGTAAACTTTATTTTCATACTTTACAATGTAGAGTGAAAATAAACGTATCTTTGTGAGCAAGTTTTCTCTGTAATGAGTATAAATAAAACAAAGCTGCGCTCAAGGCTCACACAAGAACTTGAATCACATCCTGAAGTTGGCCACCACTCAGGATGTGACTTCTGATATTGATGTGCTGGTGAAAGCTAAAAGATGTAAAGTAAAATGAGTCAAATATACTTTAAGTGCTGCATGAAACTGATCTAGCCATGTGTTCTGTAAGCTCTTTGAATCACTAAGGAATGTTTTTTTAATTTGTTGATTTTTTTTCTTCAAATTTTCAAGTACACTTCAGGTGTTGTACTTGTACTACACTGTCCTCAGGCTCCAGCCTTGTTTTATAGTGATTGTATTAAAACAAAGAAAACAATCTGAAGTTTTTTATTTTATTTACCGGTCCGGCCCACTTGGGACTAGATTTCCCTCAATGTGGCCCCTGAGCTAAAACGAGTTTGACACCCCTGATCTAGACGTCTCAGATGTTCTGATCATTAGGATCCATAATCGACTCAGATTTCTGCTGACTTTCTCTTTCGTGTTCCAGAGCTGTTGGGTGATTCATGTGTGTCACAGAGAACAGAAGAGGATCGGAGTTTGAGTGTTCAGATTATTTTCTTTTGACCCCAAAAACCATGTTGAGCGTTTGAGCGTCAGGAAAAGGCTTCAGACCGGAGCCAGAAGAGGCTTTAAACATCATTTCTGCCAAGCTGCAGGAAAATGATGGACCTGAATTAGTTTTCTTGTGTTTTTGTTATTTATATCCTTATGGGTTCTCTGGGTTTCTGCTGATTTAAATCAAACGTAGAGAAATAAAACAGAATAAAGTCAAAAGTAAAGCAAACAAATGGTAAAATGGTAAATGGCCTGTATTTGATATAGCGCCTTCTAGAGTCCTAGAACCCCCCAAGGCGCTTTACAACACAATCAGTCATTCACCCATTCACACACACATTCACACACTGGTGGGGATGAGCTACAATGTAGCCACAGCTGCCCTGGGGCGCACTGACAGAGGCGAGGCTGCCGAGCACTGGCGCCACCAGTCCCTCCGACCACCACCAGCAGGCAACGTGGGTTAAGTGTCTTGCCCAAGGACACAACGACAGACTGAGCGGGACTCGAACCAGCAACCTTCCGATTACGGGGCGAGCACTTAACTCCTGTGCCACCGTCGCTAGTAGTCTGGCCCCGGGGCCAGACTACTAGCATGTGGTTTTACAACCACAAGAATCATTAAATTAGACTAGATTAATCCAGTTTATTATCGTAGGCAAATGAGAAATGCCACAAACAGGAATGTAGATTAACAATAGAACTTTTTACACAAGCAGCAGAAATACTCCTGATTTTTTATTAGTTTTACAGAAATCTTCAAAGCAATCCTACGACCACTAAGAGAAACTCCAGGAACTTCATTCAAGAGTTAAATATGGAGTTGATCCCATGGTACAGAGTCACACCTGTAGGGTTTGGTAACTTGAGTGCTTTAAGATAGGGCTGCAACAACGAATCGATAAATTCGATGAAAATCGATTACTAAAAGCGTTGGCAACGAATTGCATCATCGATTCGGTGTGTCGCACAACTTTTCCAAAAGCGCCCCCCCCTTCCCGCCCGCCGTTGCGCGCAGAGCAAGTCAGATCAGCGCGAGGGAGAGCCAGCAGATCAGCGCAAGGTTCACGCTGCTGCGAACCGGTTCCGCCCAAGGCCGGATTAACTGGGCAATTGCACAGGGCCCACGAACTCTAAAGGGCCCAGGGCACGAGCACAATACTGTATCTATAATTTCCCGCTTTATGAGGACTATGGTGACCGTACGTTCTGTTTTCCCCGGACTTGTCCACTTTTCACTCTCTGTCCGGGCGCCCGGACTGCGGGTTCTTGTATTGATGAAAATGTCCGGCTTTTCATCCAGGAGCAGGGATCGAATTATGGGGTAGCTGGATATCCTACACATCAGGGGAGCCGGAAAAAAGTTTTCTATATTATATCATTTTTGGACTCTTTTGAGCAGAGAGCGGCACAGCGCATTGTTGCGCAGCGATCCAGGCAGCTGCTTCCAGCGCACGGTCCATTCTCAAAGTGGCGCAACCAAAAAACCATAATTAGCACACGATCGTTCATGTCTGCACATGTTCTCTATTTTCTGTCTTATTTGTGCCTGAAGCGCGCTACTGCGGAGCTCATCACCTGTGCTGTGGTGATTTCACCTCACACAGCATCGAAAACGCGCTCTCCGCTTTGCGGTCAGGAGATCCCTTTGATCTGCTCAAAAGTAACTGATGAGGTGAAAAGGTAAGAATCCAGGCAACAGATTTTCTGGAGAATTAAGAGGAGATGCAGGAAGATGAGAGACAGACAGGACAGGAAAATAGTTCAATAAAAACAAGAAAACAAAACAAAGTGTTGAAAAGTCAAATGTAGGTAGATTTATCTCCACTACACGTTTTTACCAGTAAAAAACAATAAGTTCTACACATGTAATATTCATACATCTGATACAATTCAGATCACCTTCAAAACTCAGTCACACACCCAGGGCCGTTTCAAGACATTTTGGGGGCCAAGGCAAAATGCCCCCCCCCCCCCCCCCCCCCCCCCCCCCAATAACTGGGCTCCCCAGAAGCCTCTGTGTAATCCATACCCTCTCCAGTAGTGTTAGTTATACAGTGTTTATAAAAGCCCCTCAGACATTACTGACATGTTCTAATATTATCAGATGAAAAACTAAATTATCAGACATGCTGTCTCATCTGCTTCTTTTCTAAACTTGCAAAAAGTAACAAAACTATTTGAAAGCCACTATTTGTGGATTCTCTGAAAGTTTCCATGGAGTGTGTGACAACTTATTTTTTCATTGATCCTATCGTCTAATCTCACAGCTGAAACAAGCATCCTTAATAATCTGTGCACAGGAAGCTTACCAATGCTGTAGTAAAACAAAAGGTATAATAATTTATTATTAATAAAACCTTGTTGCAGCACTAAAGCAGAAAAATGAGATTTTGCATTAAATATGCAAAATATTTACATATGAATTGTTTTAGAGCCCTTTTATTGGCAGAATCTGATATTAATTTAGTTCTTACAAAAAAAAAGGGTCCCAACGTGGTTTGTGTGGCGTTGCCATAGTGTGACGTCATAGGCACAGATCCCCTGTCCTCTTGTTTGGAAATGGAAATACGGTCACCCTATTAAACAAACTGTCCACCCGGGCTTTTGTGCTGCACAGAGACGCTTCGCTGCCTATGACTGAACGTCAGTTGAGAGTCATCTCATGCAGACTGACCAATGAAGAGAGGGCCTCAAGTTAAGACCCGCTCCTCATTGGTCAGTCCACACGAGGTGGGTCAAAGGTTACTCTGGACGGGTTACGCGTTGTCAGGCATTCAAGTATTGAGTATATTTACTGCATATTACAGTAAAATATTCTGTATGTGACCACATTATGGTGATCCTCGGGTCGTGATGATGGAGCCCTTGAATATTGTTGCCCAGGGTACAACAAAGTGTTAATCTGGCCCTGGTTCCGCCGTCACATTCCCGCAGAAACTGGTTGATCACACCGGGGCCAGACTACTAGCATGTGGTTTTACAACCACAATGTCCTCGGAAGCAAAAACGCTTTCAAAAGGGAGGGAGGAGTCCTAACTGTTGCTGCAGGCGTGTTGTGTGAGAGTGCAGTTATATACTGGTTAATATATTTTTGGGTTCAGTTGCTTTCATGTGGCCTAATGTGAGTCTATTTGGGATCATTGGAATGATCAGCAGCATTTCTTGATGTGACTTTATGGCAGTTGCCCAGGGCATCATCACAAGGAGGATGGCATTCATTTACTTTTGTTTGATTTGGTATTTTTTCAGTCATTTTTGGAAATAGTGACCAATTTTGATTAATTCACAGCCTATGTTTAATTACATTTAAAAATTAGTTGTTTGACATCCCCAGTTACAATAAATGTCAATAGATGAGATCAAACAAAACAGATGAGAATTGCCCTTAAGCTGTTTAACTTGGACCAAGCATTTTAGGTCACAGATAGATGTAGCTTAGGGTCTCTGTCTATACACCTTATAAGACAATTTAGGTGATGGCATGTTGTTTTTCTGCTATTGAACTGTTTTCTAATAATGTTGTGTTAAATAAAGTGAAGGAAGGAGAGAAATAACGTTTCCCTTGCAGTTTTTAAAAATTTCCCCATGTAATCCGATTAATCGATTAATCGTGTCGAGACCCCATCCGATTCATCGATTATCCAAATAATCGTTTGTTGCAGCCCTACTTTAAGAGCTCAGTATATATATTACCTCTACTTATGACCAATAAGCTGTGATACTCTATCTAAATATAGAATATCAACCTGCCTGGTCTTTACTGTGTTTATTCAGCAGATTCTAGGATTCTTTGCTCCATTCAGGGGTTGTACACACTTCGTTTTGAGAAAAGAGTCAGGTTTATAAAAGTAAGAATTTATTTTTAAAACAATTAAAACATGACAGGTTAACTAATATTTACTGTGATGGATGAATCTAGAAGGAGTAGGTGTAGAATATGGTGCCTATGTGTGAATGCGATGTTATCAGAACTTCCGTGTATAGGAGAGCTGAGTTCTGGGTGGAAAAGAATTGGGTTTGCGTTAAGCTATGAAGTTGATTCTTATCAAAAGGCATCAGATGCTATCTGTGTGTGTACTTCACCCATTCTTGGAGACCCTCTTCGTGGATCCGAAGGTCAGAGAGGTTGGATGACCTCTGGCACCGAGGTCCAGTAGATTGACCACAGCACCGACTTCTCTTGTCCAGAGATGTCTCGGGTCACAACAGACGGATGGAGCCGCGTGTCTGGGACTCTTAAGGAGTCCAAACAATATCAGCTTGTTCTGCAGGAACTGTATGCTTTATCAGCTTCGCAGGTGCAAAAAGGTTTTGACGACGTGTCAAAAGCTTTGATGGGTTAAAGACAGTTTTGCTTCAGATGGTCGGTCTGAAGCTTTCTCTAGAACTGAGCTGAACCACCAGAGTGATCTGGTTTTAACGTTCTCATGTTATGATTTGTGTAGCCAACCAGAGGTTGACATGTTGAGGAATAATACCAAGAAAACTCAGAAAAACGGCTTCCTTGATACCGGATGCTCTGATCTGGGGTAAAGGGCTCTCTCGGTGTCACACGTTTAACTTAACTTAACTTTACTTTGTCCTTGTGTGAGTGCAAATGGAGATGACCTTGTCATATCAACATGCTGAAACATATATAAACCTTTGAATGTAATCACAACATTCATTTCAGACTTCAATTACTCAAGCACAGATTAATGAAAGCATTTCATTATATTGTAATTATTATAAGTAGCAATAAACAAACATTTATTTAATGATTATTTAACTTAAGTTTTAGAAGTTCATATTTAATTCAAGAAATCATTCTTTGATTTAGCAACTGATTCAAGCTGCGAGTGTTAGGCATGACGAATCCTGTAGGACGATAAGGATGGACCTTGAGGAGAGAACATTATTGTTGACAATTCGTTACCATGTGTTCAGAGCTGCAGAGAGGCTCTGAGCTCCAGCTGATGGGATGAAGGCAGGCCGATTTAAAGGGAACACATGCAGTCTCGTGTCTCCATTTTGACCAGATGTTGAATGGTCAAACTGTACCTAAAAACTGACCATTGCTGGACATTACACACCAGAACCCTGCAACTGCCACCTTCTTCCCCACAGTCCCTGATCGTTTACTTTAGTCTGATTAACCAGACTGGCTGTAACACATGCTAACTACTTCCTGCTAACTTCTCCTGCTGGAGAACTCTGAACGTGTCTCTGTTTCTACCAAGGAGGCCTTTTCCCCACCGGGTCCCATGAGTACGAGGTGTTCCGCTTTGCCCTGGCTCAGCATCAGGACGTCCCCAAACTGGTGCCTCAGGTGGACATGGTGGACACTGGGAGCAGCTTCGCCATGACCTATGCCTGTAAGTCTACGGTCTGTGATCTGGGATTACAGGAAGTCACTTACAGATGTTAACTTCCTGCCTTTACTAAAAGAAGAAAGAATTTATATTTAAAATTGGATTAATGATGAAGGATTTGTGCTGTGGCAACTTGTTTGGGTAGTTAGGAGCAGTATGGGTGACTGAAACGATCAAAAACCAAACCCTGTGTGGGATTCCAGCAGAGTGGAGCAGGGTGGAGGTGGGTGGGGCAGGGTGGAAGTGGGTGGAGCTGGGTGAAGGTGGGTGGAGCTGGCAGGGTGGAGGTGGATCAAACAATGTAGAGGTGGGTGGAGCAGGATGGAGGTGGGTGGAGCAGGGTGGAGGTGGGTGGAGCAGGGTTGAGGTGGGTGGAGCTGGGTAGAGGTGGCTGGAGCAGGGTGGAGGTGGGTGGAGCAGGGTGGAGGTGGGTCGAGCAGGGTTGAGGTGGGTGGAGCTGGATAGAGGTGGGTGGAGCAGGATGGAGGTGGCTGGAGCAGGGTGGAGGTAGGTGGAGCAGGGTTGAGGTGGGTGGAGCTCGCTAGAGGTGGATGGAGCAGGATGGAAGAGGCTGGAGCAGGGTGGAGGTGGCTGGAGCAGGGTGGAGGTGGGCCGAGCAGGGTTGAGGTGGGTGGAGCTGGGTAGAGGTGGGTGGAGCAAGGTGGAGGTAGGTGGAGCAGGGTGGAGGTGGGTCGAGCAGGGTAGAGGTGGGTGGAGCAGGATGGTGGTGGCTGGAGCAGGGTGGAGGTAGGTGGAGCAATGTGGAGGTGGGTGGAGCAGGATGGAGGTGGGTGGAGCAGGGTGGAGGTGGTTGGAGCAGGGTTGAGGTGGGTGGAGCTGGGTAGAGGTGGCTGGAGCAGGGTGGAGGTGGGTGGAGCAGGGTGGAGGTGGGTCGAGCAGGGTTGAGGTGGGTGGAGCTGGGTAGAGGTGGGTGGAGCAGGGTGGAGGTAGGTGGAGCAGGGTTGAGGTGAGTGGAGCAGGGTGGAGGTGGGTCGAGCAGGGTAGAGGTGGGTGGAGCAGGATGGTGGTGGCTGGAGCAGGGTGGAGGTGGGTGGAGCAATGTGGAGGTGGGTGGAGCAGGGTGGAGGGGGGTGGAGCAGGGTAGAAGTGGGTGGGGCAATGTGGAGGTGGGTGGAGCTGGGCGGAGGTGTGCTGACCTAAATCAGTAAATTCCAAGGCAAGGCAGCTTTATTTGAATTTCACACAGGTTTAAGGAGCCGCTCAGGAACAATAAGAAAGTTTGATCTTAGTTCATGTTTGATTCTTGGACTCTGGATGTTTGCTGTTAACGAACAGATCAGGATCTTTTTTTTAATGCTAACTCGTTAATGATGGGACTCGTTGACCAACCTGGCTATGTCCTGCTGTCCACACTGTCCTCAGCATATCTGACATCCATCATCCAGACTTCATGCGGGGGGCTTTAAAAGCGCTGCCGCCAGCCGCTAACGTAGACCAGAGGGAGTTCGGTGCTAAATGGACTCAGGGCTCCAGGGAGCAACCGGAGATCAAGTGCGCAGAAAAGTAAAGCTGTTCTGCTTCACCTTGAAGACACTGGTGGTCTTACAGCTTAGGTGTGTGTGTGGGTGTGTGTGTGCGGGTGTGTGTCTTGGAAGTATGTTTGTCTGAACAATTGTGTGATCAGGAGAAGATACACTCATGGTTTTATATGTTTAGTCTGTGGGAGAAGATGCATTCTGCTCCCAAATAATATGTATCAGTCGTTCATCGTTCAGTTCAACCAATGCAGTCGGGTCAGAACCTGTCCTGCTTTTGTTTTGGAGGCTTCAGGATCGTGTCAGGCAGGGAGCAGGTTTGATTTATTTTCCTGGATCCGTGTGGGTGATGCAGCCAGCACGGCGGCGTGACACCAACTGTCAGAGCTTCAGCCCGTCATCTCAGAGGATAATTCCTGCTAACCGAATGTGTGAGTTCAGTCTGAGCAGCTGAAATGTTTGTTTTTCTGCTGAGAGGAAGCTGCTCATCTCCGACTCACAGGAGACACAGCTCCGTCTGTTTTACACACACACACACACACACACACACACACACACACACACACACACACACACACACACACACACACACACACACACACACACACACACACACACACACACACAGACACGCACACACACACACACACACACACACACACACACACACACACACACACTGGACCGGTTGGTCTGCAGCTGCAGGAGCCTGAAACCGTTGCTGTACCTAATAAAATGGACTCTCTGAGCTCTGCTGCTTTTTTGAGTTTGTAAAAATGAATCAGATTTTTTCAAGTGTTCATCTTTCGTCTATTAAAGGCAAAGACAACAAAAATACCAAATAAAGAACGGAGTTTGTTCAGATTGAAAAAATGAAATAAATAAGATTTTCTTATACTTTTCCCTCCTGGTTGATTTAGTGACATCCCCAGTTGTTGATAAACCTCTCCGATAATCTGGGATCGATTGTTCTGGCTGCTGATCGGGTCTAGGGCTGTCAGATCAACAGTCGTTCCCTGATTGAGGAAACGTTCCGTAGGATTCCTGCTGGAACAACACTGATCTCTGGCTGTCCGCGGACACAAACCAGAACCTAAACGCCGGAGCAGCCCAACAGTCGGTTCTGTATTTCTAATGAGTTTGTCCATCTGGACGGTTTTCCACCAAGTTGCATTAATTTAATCAGTTTCAATAAAACATTATTATCAGACGAGCATTTGGCCGGAAGAACTCGGCCAGCCAGGAAAATCCTTCATTTGTATTGGAAAGAAATCCTGTAAAATAAGAAAGTTAAGGAAGGATTCCAGAATCAGGACTTTCACAACAAAAGCTGTGTTGGTCTGTAGGTTGGGCTTTTATTCTGTGGGGAACTAAAGATTAAATACCAACCAAGTAGGACCATCAGAACCAGAACCAGGAAGAAGCCCCAGTTTCCAGAAGCAGAACCGAAGTTCTCCTGATCAGGAGAAGAATTACAACTTTCTCCATTTTGTGGTGGAATTTGGAGCCAAAACAAAACAAACAGAACTGAGTTAGGATTTCAGATGGAGATAGAAGGATGGATGGATGTTTTTAAAACAATTCTTCAGACACAAGAAGCAGCTCTGGTGGTAGCTGAGATCCTTTCATCTGATTTATTCCAGTAAAGCAAAACCCGGAGCGCTTCAGAGGAGTTCTAATGAATCATCCTAAACAAATCCAGGCCGAAGGAAAACCCTCCTCGTGTTGCACCGCCGGAATCCTGCAGCAGGAATACCGGAACAAACAAACGGGACACTGGCAAGCAACACTTAGAGCTAATGAAGGGATTAGGACATCTGTAATGGGAAAAGTTGATCTATAAACATCGTCGTCGTCGTCTTCCTCCGCTTATCCGGGTCCGGGTCGCGGGGGCAGCATCCCAACTAGGGAGCTCCAGGCCGTCCTCTCCCCGGCCTTGTCCACCAGCTCCTCCGGCAGGACCCCAAGGCGTTCCCGGACCAGATTGGAGATGTAACTTCTCCAACGTGTCCTGGGTCGACCCGGGGGCCTTCTGCCGGCAGGACATGCCCGAAACACCTCCCCGGGGAGGCGTCCAGGAGGCATCCTGACCAGATGCCCAAACCACCTCAACTGGCTCCTTTCGATCCGGAGGAGCAGCGGTTCTACTCCGAGTCCCTCCCGAATGTCCGAGCTCCTCACCCTATCTCTAAGGCTGAGCCCGGCCACCCTACGGAGGAAACTCATTTCGGCCGCTTGTATCCGCGATCTCGTTCTTTCGGTCATTACCCAAAGCTCATGACCATAGGTGAGGATTGGGACGTAGATCGACCGGTAAATCGAGAGCCTGGCTTTCTGGCTCAGCTCCCTCTTCCCCACGACAGATCGGCTCAGCGTCCGCATCACTGCAGACGCCGAACCAATCCGCCTGTCGATCTCCCGATCCCTCCTACCCTCACTCGTGAACAAGACCCCGAGATACTTAAACTCCTCCACTTGAGGTAGGACCTCTCCCCCGACCCGGAGGTGGCAAGCCACCCTTTTCCGGTCGAGAACCATGGTCTCAGATTTGGAGGTGCTGATCCTCATCCCAGCCGCTTCACATTCGGCCGCGAACCTACCCAGCAAGAGCTGAAGGTCAGAGCTGGATGAAGCTAGGAGGACCACATCATCCGCAAAAAGCAGAGACGAGATTCTCCTGCCACCAAACTCGACACACTCCACACCACGGCTGCGTCTAGAAATTCTGTCCATAAAAGTGATGAACAGAACCGGTGACAAAGGGCAGCCCTGGCGGAGTCCAACCCTCACTGGGAACAGGTCCGACTTACTACCGGCTATGCGGACCAAACTCACGCTCCTCTTGTAAAGGGACTGAATGGCCCTTAACAGAAAGCCACCCACCCCATACTCCTGGAGCGTCCCCCACAGGGTGCCCCTGGGGACACGGTCATAAGCCTTCTCCAAATCCACAAAGCACATGTGGATTGGTTGGGCAAACTCCCATGCCCCCTCCATCACCCTTGCAAGGGTATAGAGCTGGTCCACAGTTCCACGGCCAGGACGAAAACCACATTGCTCCTCCTCTATCTGAGATTCAACTATCGATCGGACCCTCCTCTCCAGTACCTTGGCGTAGACCTTTCCAGGGAGGCTGAGGAGTGTGATCCCCCTATAGTTGGAACACACCCTCAGGTCACCCTTCTTAAAGATGGGGACCACCACCCCGGTCTGCCACTCCCTAGGAACTGCCCCCGATGACCACGCAATGTTGTAGAGACGTGTCAACCATGACAGCCCTACAACATCCATAGCCTTGAGATACCCAGGACGAACCTCATCCGCCCCCGGGGCTCCGCCGCTGTGTAGTTGTTTGACTACCTCAGCAACTTCTGCCCCCGAGATCGGACAGTCCATCCCCAGGCCTCCCAGCTCTGGTTCCTCCTCGGAATGCGCATTGGTGGGATTGAGGAGCTCCTCAAAGTATTCCTTCCACCGTCCGACTATAGCCTCAGTTGACGTCAGCAG